CTCAATTCAGAGCGGAAGATTGGCTTCTCTACCGGGCCGCTTGGAGTTGTTACGCAGAAGGCTATTTTTGAGGTATGTGAAGATTATCGTTTTTAAGTAAATTATTGACAATATAATTTTATTTGTTTTTGTACAGTTCATAGTTCTCTACGCACTCTACATAATGTTTTCTATCAAGCTGCTGCTTGGAATCAGCTAACTAATCACTAATTTGACTACTAACTACTTTATAAATACATATTATTGTGATTACTACTTTTGTATATCTAACAATGTTATAACATTAACACACATTAACACACATTAATGACCCTGTAAGCACCTGTATATTAAACTCAATTTTTTTGCTTGTGTATTTGTGTTTGATTTTTAAAATTTTAAGCTGTTGTTGTTGCTGTTAAGGAGTATTTCGCCAGTCGCTCGCCTTGTAGAAGAGGAACCCGGTGACAGCAAAGCCGAGCATCAGCCACAGCACATTGCCGTAGTGAATGAAGGTGACGATGATGAAGAGGAAGGCGCCCAGAATGCCGATGACGCCCTCTTTCTAGCAGTAAAAAACATACTTTTAGTACAAAAGTACTTCTTTTCAGACATTCCCATCTTCTAATAACTCCACTCACCACCTTAGCCCAGGCAATCGGATACTGCAGCGGCTTAATATGCGCCAGCTCCGGCACCGAGGAGATCGGCCCAATGTCGACAATGATCTGCAGCGCCACCTGGGCGAAGACCGGAAATCCCAGCTCATCCTCCATCTCCACGTAGGCGGCATGTTCCTCTTCCGTCGGATTCAGGCCCGTCACCTTGGCCAGCTGCCGGGGACTCTTGTAGAAGTGGGCGAAGCTGATGCCGATGGGAATCATGAAGACACAGGGCCCCAGCAGGTAGTACCCGTCGCAGTCCCTCTTGTTCTCCTTCAGGCAGTGGCAGGCGTTCTCCGGAATGCCCGAGTAGTTGAACATGTCATCGTCCACCTTGAAGCGGCTGACGAAGGAGCCGTAGAAGTAGTGGGTGCTGGAGTTTGATTGGAGTTCAAGAAGAGAAAGGTCAAAATTGTTTAACAATCAATCTCACTTCAGTCAATCAAAAACTCACTACTCTCGCTTAATCACCAGTGGTCGACAGACGAAGAAGATGGTGAAAGTGAGCTTATCATCTCGGAATGGTCGCTTCATAAAGTAGCCCTCGCCCCCTTCCATCACATCACAGGGCGGCTCCTTCAAGGGGTAGCTTCGAAAGTGCAGCGCACTGTAGATATCGCCCTGCATGTGCCCGTCCTCCGTGGTGTGCCACTGCTCGAAGGGGCCGATCCACCCACCGTTGGGCGTGGTCGTCACGCCGAAGGAGTTGTTTCGCAGCACGAAGCCCCACATTCCGAGCTCCTGGGGAATGGGCATGCCGAGGCTTCGCAGCGGACTAAGGAGGGCCATATCGAGGTACTTGAGGATCTTCAGCTCGTAGCTGATCATAATCTGGTAGCCGGTCATCTCGGTGATCAGCTCCTCGCCGGACATCTGCAGCGCCTTGACGATGGCATTGTAGACGAGGGGGCCGAAGAAGCGCATGTAGAAGGTCTCCATGATGCTCTTGGTGGAGTAGACGGCCAGCTGATAAACAGAAAAGATAAAAAAATTACTGATAAGTATTTTTTAAAATATGGTTAAAAGTTGGCACTGTACAAAGATGGGCAAGTTGATGGTCGTCCACTTTGTCTCCAGCGGCAGCGAGCCCCGAGGATCGTAGCCAATGACGTAGCTCTCGTCAAAGGTGAGCGTTTTCTTTTTCCTGTTTTTAGAGAAAAAAGATGTAAAATTTTGTTTTTAAAGGGCTTATTGAAAAAAGCACTGTGTTACCATTTTCGAATGCGGCGCCTGCGAGTGGCACTAAATTTGTTGCATAAAAAGTTTTTGCTCAGTAAAATGCTGTTAAACGATTTTTAAAAACTTTATACTAAATACAAAACGGTCCCACGTCGTAGAGGTGCGGCTTGGCGCCCTTCAGAAAAGCCGGCCCATTTTTGATGCCAAAGAAGTAAAGACAGGCTCGGCCGTACACCGGTGGATTTGCCCTGACAACAATGAAGTTAGTTATGTAAATGTACAAAAAATTGTCTAACAGTTTTCTTTACCAGGCAAACTCCGTAAAAAGGCCGTACTTGGTAATCCAGCCGTTCTTGTCGAGATTCATCACCTTGCTCATGCCTAAAAATGTATTTATATTTTTAAGCATGTAAAATACTCAAAATTTTTACTACAAAAACGTACCCATTCGAATAAAGTTGTTCTGATTGAG